AGTTGTAATTGTCATAAAAGTTATAATGCTATTTCCGAAAGCCATGAGCCTACTTAGCAGAAATGATACTTGAAAATATCAATAAACGAAAATATTCTGTGAGATTTTTTTAAATAATAGAAACTTTTCCATGCCTATGATACAAAGACTCAATATAGTTAAAATGGCCACCCTGACCAGAGTAATTTATAGATTCATTGCTATTTCTATCAAACTACCACTGACATTCTTCACAGAACTAGAAAATAATATTTTAAAATTTATACGGAACCAAAAAAGAACTCAAATAGCCAAGACAATCCTAAGCAAAAGAACAAAGCTGGAAGCATCACACTACCTGACTTCAAACCATACTACAGGGCTACAGTAACCAAAACAGCATGCTACTGGTACAAAATCAGACATATAGAGCAATGGAAGAGAATAGAGAACTGAGAAAAAAGGCCACACACCTATAACTATGTGATATTTGACAACCCTGACAAAAACAAGCAGTGGAGAAAGGATTCCCTTATTCAATAAATGGTGCTCGGAAAACTGGCTAGCCATATGCAGGAGATTGAAACTGGACTCCTTCCTTACACCATATACAAAAATCAACTCCAGATGGATTAAAGACTTAAATGTAAAACTTAAAACTATAAAAACCTTGGAAGACAACCTAGGCAATACCATTCTGAACATAGGAACAGGCAAAGATTTCATGATGAAGACACCAATAGCAATTGCAACAGAAGCAAAAGTTGACAAATGGGATCTAATGAAACTAAACTTCTGCACAGAAAGAAAACTACCAACAGAGTGAGCACAAAACCTACAGAATGGGAGAAAATTTTTGCAAGCTATGCATGTGACAAAGGTTTAATATCCAGCATCTATAAGGAACTTAAACAAATTTACAAGAAAAAAACAACCCCATTAGAAAGTGAGTAAAGGACATGAAAAGACACTTTTCAAAAGAAGATATACCTGCAGCCAACAAGCATATGAGAAAAGGCTCAACTTCACTGTTCATTAGAGAAATTGAAATCAAAACCATAATGAGACAGCATCTGACATCAGTCAGAATGGATTTTATTAAAAAGCCAAAAAATAACAGATGCTGGCTAGTTTGCAGAGAAAAAAGAAGACTTATACTTTGTTAGTAGGAGTGTAAATTAACTCAACCATTGTGAAAGACAATGTGGTGGTTCCTCAAAGACCTAAAAACAGAAATACCATTCGACCCAGTAATCCCCTTATTGGATATATACCCAAAGGAATATAAATTGTTCTGCCATAAAGACACATGCATGTATATGTTTATTGTCCCTGCACTATTCACAATAGCCAAGATATGAAGTCAACCTAAATGCTCATCAATGGTAGACTGGATAAATGAAATGTGGTACATATACCCCATGGAATACTATTCAGCCATAAAAAAAGAATGAGATCATGTTCTTTGCAGGAACATGGATGGAGTTGGAGGCCATTATCCTTAGCAAACTAATGCAGGAACAGAAAACCAAATACCATATGTTCTCACTTTAAGCAGAAGCTAAATGATGAGAACATGTGGACACGTAGAGGGGAACAATACACACCAGGGCCTTTAGAGGGTGAAGGGTGAGAGGAGGGAGAGAATCAGGAAAAATAGCTAATGGGTACTAGGCTTAATACTTGGGTGATAAAATAATCTGTATAGCAAACCCCCATGACACAAATTTATCTATATAACAAACATGCACGTGTACCCCAGAACATAAAAGTTAAATAAGAAAACCTTTAAAACAACAGGGCCACTAATGAAAAAGTATCATAGGGATTTTCAAATAATTACTCTTTAAAGGCTCTGGCTTTAGTTATCCTTTCAAGTAAGTTACATAATTTCACAGGCAATGAGTTTTTGAAATGCTAACCTAAAGCTGATTTCAACGTGGATTAGCACAGCACAGATATGACAATTGTAAATCAGTCTCACGTATAAAGATTCTAATCAAAATTTTACCACAAACCTCCATACTAAATCTGAACATACACATACACAGATATGTAGGATTTATTCCAGGATTAGAAAGATGTTATAAAATTTAAATAATGCATTAAACAGACATATGAAAAAAGAAAAAGATATAGAACCATTTCAAAAGGTGTTGACAATGATTTCAATACATTTTAATCCCCTTTCCAGATATAACTTTTTGAAAAGTAGGACTGGAAGGATTCTTGCCTAGCAGATTAAGAATCGTTCTTTCCAAACAATGCTCATCATCATAGGAGGAATTCATTTGAGGTGCACTCAGGAGAAAATGAGAATTGTGATTATGGCTACATTTTTTTTTTTTTTTTGAGACAGTTTACCAAAAAAGAACTCAAATAGCCAAGACAATCCTAAATTTCTCTAAGGCAAAGGGCAGACAGGAAAGTGAGCAGGAGGCAGTATTAAAGCTGAGAGCATAAAACACAGCAACATAGCAGGACCACAAATGGTTTTTAGTAGAGACGGGGTTTCATGAGGTTGGCCAGGCTGGTCTCGAACTCCTGACCTCAGGTGATTCACCTGCCTCTGCCCCCCAACGTGCTGGGATTACAGGCATGAGCCACCACACCCAGGTATGGCTACAAATTTGTTCATTCATAACAACAAATATTTGTTGCAGGGCATTATAGGTGTTGAGAACACCTGCAATTTAGTGTTCTGCTATGTCATCGTCATGTTATTGCTGTAATTGTTATCTCATGATTATGATAGCTATCATTATTTTAGTCATTGTTAGGATGATTATATATCCGTAGTAGCAAAGCGTCCTGCAATGTACCATATCAGAAGATAATTCATCAAAGTATGTGGATAAAACCAATACCCAAAAGACCTTTCCTATATACTTTAAATCCTGAGTTACAGAAGACATGATAGAAAAAGAATACTATTCACTCTAATAACATGAAAGATTCCATAAAATACCTCAAAATAATCTCAAAAACAAACATATATGATAGAATTTAAAAGCTGCATTGAGAGCTGTAGAAGAACTATCGAGAGGAAGGAAAGAATAAACATTCCATATTTCTCAATGGTAAGGCAGATATTGTTAAAAATGTCAATTTTCCCCAAGTTATTTTTTAAGTTTAGACAATACTATAATTTGAATGTATCCCCTTCAAAATTTAGGTGTTTACAATATGATAGTATTAAGAGGTGGGGTCTATAAGAGATGATTAGGCCATGAGCGCTCCTTCCCCAGGAAAGGGATTAAGGCCTTTAGAAAAGAAGCTTCACGCAGCATTAGTTTGGCTTGCTCTCTTGCACTTCTGCCTCTGCCATGTGAGGACACATCAGTAAGTCCTCCCCGGAGGCCAATGCCATGATCTTGAACTTCCCAGCCACCAGAATCCTGAGAAGTAAATTTGTTTTCTTTCTAACTTACTCCATCTTAAGTATTCTGTTATAGTAGCACAAAGTGGACTAAGACAGATGATTTCAACAAATAAATAGAGATATTTTTGCTTGCTTGTTTGTTAGATAACTTAAAATTATATTCTATTTTTTTTTCTGGAAAAGTAAGCAGACCAAAGAAGCAAATAAACAGTTTTAAAAAGAATATGGTGAGGAAGGCTAGGTCCATGTTAAGATATGAAAGAGACAAACACTCCATTCAGGCACTTGGCCAACATTTATTGCATCCTGGTGTGCAGCAGGCACAGTCGTAGCTACGTGTGAGGCCACAACAGTAAATGAAAGAAAATCTGCTTCTGCCCTCTTGGAACTTAGAATCCTCCACTCCATCAGGTGGTGGGAAGTGCTGTGAAGAAAAGGACACAGGGTAAAGAAGTAGACAGTAACCAAGGGCATCAAGTGGAGCTATTTTTGATTGGGTGGTTGCGGAAATATGTCTTAGGAGGTGACTCTCAGAGACCTCAGTGAAGAGTAGGCCCAATGGCTATATGGGAGAGGAGAGTTCTGTTGGAAGAAAGAGCACAGGCTTAGGATAAGGGCTGTCTTGACAGGTTTGAGGAATAGCTAAGCTATCAGTGTGACAGGGAGACCTGTAAGAAATGAGGTACTAAGGTAGCCAGGAGCCAATGCATAGCAGAGGACTTTAAAGTGGTGCATGGTCATTGTCCAAATTTTCCCAGATGAGTCTAGTTTATACATGCTGACTGATCCATAATTAATAGTGTTTTCTTCCTTATAGAGAAGAACCAGAACTTTATATACAATCCATAAGCAAAATCAAATTCAAGCAGGATTGTAGATCTAAGCATGAAAGCCTGTAGAAAGAAAAATCACAGGAAAATAATTTCCTGAACTTGTGTTAAGTAAGCAAGGATTTTCAAGTCAAAAAACAAAAAGCAGTAGCCATAAATAAGGTGAACTTGTATTAAGCAAGGATTTCCTAGTCAGAGTACAGAGTGGTAGCCATATATTAATAAATGGAACTTGATCAAGAAATTATGATCATCAGAAGACTATGAGTAAGCCTGGGATATCTTGTCCATAAATCAAGGAAGTGTTAAAAGATCACACCCCTCCAACATGACATGTGCAAACTGGCATCAAGGACCTTCCATTGGTGAAGTTTAGGACAGCTCTGTTTCTCAAAAGAATAAAAACAAAAGTGAATAAAAGCATATTGAATATAAAGTGAAAACAGGAGTCCATACTGTACTAAACATACAGATGAATGAATACAGGTAAAACATTTTTTACTGTAGAATGACAATTAGTACATATAAAAGGCATAACGAGTTTAAAATTGCCATTTTTATAACCACTATATTAATACTTACTTCAGGCAAGAATTTGGGTGAATCTTTACTGGGAAACATGATATCAACATGGTGTCAATCTCCGTATCGATTATGTATTAATTACATGGAAGAAAAATGAATCTTTTTAGTGGAGAAATCTAGTGGAGACCTCTTTGTCTGAGTGATCAGAATGATGTCACAAGCTTTCTGAAGTGATGCATTGAGATGTAGACACAGCCTCAATTATGAAATAGGCTGATAAAATAAGTACCTTTAACTTAGTCCTGGAGAAGAAACCAGAAATAACCAAATTAGAGCACTTTTTACAACATGAATACTCTATATTCTTAAAAAAAAAGTCAATATCATAAAAAAAACAAGGCTAAGAACCTATTTCAGATTAAAGAAGACTAAACAGATGTGAAAATTAAATGCAACATATGATACCACATTAGGAAAAAATGCTATTCCAGAGACATTATTGAGATAATTGACAAATTTGTATGACAATACATGACATAATATTAATATAAAATGTTAAATTTATTGGATTGGATATAGTAATTTTGAAAGAAAATGTCTTTGTATTCAAGATATACTTAAGTATTCAGCAACAAAGGATTATGGTGTCTACAGCTTACCCTCAGTGATTCATAAAAAAGCTGATTGGTACATAGGTAGGTAGACAGATAGAAAAATACAACAAATGTGGCAAACATTTTACAGTAGAATGGCAACTCATCAATGTAGAAGGCATAACAGAGTGGATTTTGCAACCACTATAGTAATAATTATTCCAGATAAGAATTTTGGTGAATATTGACTGGGGAACATGGTATCAACATGATTCATTCTCAATGATTCACAAAAAGTTGATATATAGAGAGATGGAGAGAAAAATACAACAAATATGATTAATGGTTAACAGCTGATGAATCTAGATGAAAAAGTATATGATTATTCAGTAGGAAATTCTGGCAACTTTTTTGTAGATTGACATTTTTCAAAATTAAAAAATAAAAAAATATAAAAAACAGAAATTAAAAAATTAAACCCAAGGAAAAAATCTAGTAGAAAAATGAACAAAAGCTATTGAATAATTGGCTGATAACTACTTGAAAGTGGGGGTTCACATCATTAATCATGAAGGACAGAATTAATAGTATCCAGTAAATAAACTGTGGATTGTTATGAATACTATACAGCAATGAAAAGAAACAAGCAATTGCTGAACAGCAATATGGATACAATGCACGAAGCTAACAGCAATTTAAAAAAAGAACTCCCAGACCAAAGAGTATATAGCATGTAATCCATTGATATAAAACTTCAGGGATGGACAAAGCTCATTTATGAATTTAGAAATAAGGGGGGCTTCTAGGGGCTGCTAATGTTTTGATTCTCTCTCTGGGTGCTGATTACACCAATGGGTTCACATTGGGAAAACCCATCCCACTATATGCTTCTTATGTATATTTGTTTCTTTATGTTACTATAAGAAATAAAATATTTTTTAAATAAAAAATAGGTTTTTTGTTTTGTTTTGTTTTGTTTGTTTTTTGAGACAAGGTCTTTTTCTGTCATCCAGGCTGGAGGGCAGTGGCACAACAACAGCTCAGTGCAACCTCTACCTCCTGGGCTCAAGCAATCCTCCCACCTTGACCTCCCAAGTAGCTGGGACCACAGGCTACGCCACCAGGCCTGGCTCATTGTTTAAAATTATTTTTGTAGAGACGGGGGTCTCACTACATTGCCCAGGCTGGTTGCAAACTCTTGGGCTCCAGTGATCCTCCCATCTTGGCCTCCCAAAGTGCTGGGTTTACAGGCACAAGCCACTGCACCCGGCCTAAGAATAATCTTATACTGGAAAAAACTTTTCATTTCAAACTCAAAAGAAGAGAAATAGCAGTTGTTTGCCAGCTTACTTCACTCTCGCTCATTTCCTGAAGTACGGACTGGATAGTCCCTGCTATTTGCTCTGGAATTGGAGAAAGATGAGTCATGCTGATGAATGCAGCATAGTTTTGAGAGGAGCTGTGAGTAATTCCCACATGAAAGAGAACCTGAAATTAATCACTGGCTATTAATACAGGACAAGTGTGTGAATTAGTAGCCAAAAAAATAAAACAAAACCTATTGAAACTTGTTTGGAACAGAGGATTTACACTTGAGATGTGTGCTCCAGACACAAGTGTGTCTTCACACTACATCAGTAGGAGTTCCACCAAGCATGGGCTCAAGGCTGTCAAGGCTATTTCAACTGCACAGACAGCACCAGGCTGCCACACACATGGATCTAGGAGTTTCAGTCTTGAGATTCATAACTGCAATACTATGAATTGCTTTTTTAAAATTCTAGACAGGGTGCAATGGCTCCCACCTGTAATCCTAGCACTTTGAGGGGCTGAGGTGGGAGGATCACTTGAGGAGTTTGAGACTAGCCTGGCCAACACAAGAAGATCCTGTTTCTACCAAAGATAAAATAATTAGCCAGGCATCGTGGTGTGCACCTGTAGCTCCAGCTACCTGGGCGACTGAGGCAAGAGGATTGCTCGAGCCCAGGAGTTCAAAGCTGCAAGGAGCTGTGATTGCACCACTGTATTCCAGCCTGGGCAACATCAAGTGGGCTAACAACCCTCCGGGCCAAAGCAAACCACAGGGTTGAGTCCATCATAAAGATGTGGGGAAGTTTCCCTGCCCATTGTGGGTGAGCACCGAGAAGCTACATGGTAAAGGGAGAAGATACTGGGAAGAACACCACATTCCCATTTGTTCTTATCTGTTTATGAGCTGGTTCAGAGGCTCTCATACCTTCGGTGCCTGGTGCCAGTTTCCCTGAAGGTCCCTGCCACCCCTCATCCCTCTCTTGTTCTGTGTTGGAATTGGCCGCTTCTACTCATGCTCATGTCTCCCTTTGCTCCCCTTGCTCCTCATGCTCAGCTCCCGTCTCAGAGCTGCTGACTTCCGTGGCCACAAAATAAGTAGGGTCCCCAATTTCCTTCTCTCACACTGCTCTGAAGTTTTCCTTCCTAACACTTACTTCTGGGGTGAAAGGAAGTAAATTCTAGAATCAGAGGACCTCCACAGGCCTCTAAGGACCTGGGGATTCTCGGGTCTACGTTTCTTGCTTTAGTGATGCATAGTCTGAGGCTCTGGGTGGATGGAACTCATGCTTACTTGGCTGGTGAGGAGTGGTCAGGAAAGAAATTTAATTCTGCTAACAAAGGCCGCAGGAGAGAAATGGACAGAGATCCTGACTGGCCAACTCATACAAGAAACGTAAGCAGTCAATGAGCATATAAAGAAAATAATATTTTACTTGCATTCATAATCAAATAAATAAAAGTAAATCATCTATATATACATATGGAATTTTACTGGCTACAATTGTTCCAGACACTAAAACAACAAGCACATTTAGAGTTTTTAAATAGTACTGATGAATACTGTGAATATTCAACTTGAATAGGACAACTAGAATAGTCCCTCAATGTGTTCCTTTGGTTAGGTTTTTTAGTTTATTTTGGAGGGGGGAGCATGTTAGTTTCAGCTCATCATGAATATTTATTCCCAATGATCAGTTTGAAAAAAATGGAGCTGAGAGCAGCAGACAGAGACAATTGATCCACAGAAAACAAAGCAGGCAATCCATTGTTGCTAAGAAACGTCATCCTTAAAAGAGCAGCAACTTAACTCAAGTCCATCTGAAAACTTAGTCCAGATATTCCAAAGAGGACGGGGAACCTGCTCCGGGGTGAACCTGCTGTAGGGTGAACCTAACTCATGCCCATCTGAAAACTTGGTCTAGATATTCTGAGGGGGAAAGGCAAGGGGAACCTGCTTCAGGGTGAGGAAACCAGTTTGAAGTGGTAAGCAGGGACATGGATCCAGGTAGACACAGGAAGGAAAGATTCTGCAGAAAAAGCTTAAATGCAGAATAAAATAACAAGAACTGACTTTGGAAACCTTTTGCATAAAATCAGTACAAATTCATGGAGTATCTAAAGATAAACCTACCTGTCATCTTTAAGCCATGGCAACTAGAAACACTGCATTTTATAAGCTAACTGTGCAGCTTTGACTAAGACATAATTAAGCAGTAATTATCTGTTAGCCCTGGAGGACAGGGCTGACTGGACATATAGGTAACGGCATTATGCAGGGAGTGTAGCGACTATCGTCATTTTCATTAGACACCTGGCAGGAGGCAACGGAAACCTTCCACAGAAAGGCTCCTCCTTCCCCACAGGGAGACCAGGGTGTGAGAGGCTGCAGATACAGGGCTTCCAGTTAGAAGCACAAGATGATCTGCCCTGTGGTCTTGTCCACTAAGACAAACTGGAATTTGTGAATCTTTCATACATATGAACTGATGAAAAGTCAGATCTCAAAGCTTGAGCTCTGGACAAGTGTGTAGAAAGAAACCAAGACATAGCCAAAAGAAATCAGACCTCCTTGCACTGACAGAATGGACCAGAGCAGGATGGATCCCACAGGAGGGAACTGCAGAACCCTAGAGCTGAGGAACACAGGTCAACTGAACTGTGCTCTCAGCCACACTGGCCCAGGAAGACCACCACTTCCTCAGGACGGTGGAGCTGCAGAAAGACACATACGTGGGCCACAGGTCCTTAATGCACCCTTAGATATATATAGGCATGATGAATTCTAGGTGGCTGTCTCATCAGCGTGGCTTCCACTATTCTTAAAAAAGCATTTTCTTACTTTCATAAAGATGTCCAGAATTTTCTTTTTAGTTCCTTAGGTGGTGTTATCTATATATAGCTGGATTGGATAGACCCTACTTCCTAATGATTATCAGCATTTCCTGATGCCTGGGTGTGCAAATCTAGAAAATTGCCTATAGGTGCTCTGTAAGTTTTCTGTTGGGAAGGAAGGAAAGAAGGAGAAGAGGAAGGAAAGAAGGAGAAGAGGAAGGAAAGAAGGAGGAAAGGAAGGAAGGAGGAAAACGGAAGAGAAAGAATGAAAGAAGGAAGGAAGGAAAGAAGAAAGAAAGAAGAAAGAAAGAAAGAAGGAAAGAAAGAAAGAAAGAAAGAAAGAAAGAAAGAAAGAAAGAAAGAAAGAAAGAAAGAAAGAAAGAAGGAAAGAAAGAAAGAGAAAGGAAGGAAGGAAGAAAGAAAGAAGAGAAAGAAAGGAGGGAAGGAAGGAAAGAGGAAAGAAAGAAAGGAAAGAAAGAAAAGAAAGGAAAATAACAAACTGCTAAAATTGTTGATTAACTCTCTCTCTCTGTCTCTGTGTGTGTGTGTGTGTGTGTGTGTGTGTG